GAACTGAGTTTTATGAATGAAGATTTTAAAAAGTTACTTGTAAGTTGTATATGTTATATCTGTGTGTTCTACTTGGCTGTGTGCTTCATAAAAAGAGGGGGGGGGGGCGTCTTGAACATAGTAAATAGCCATAACGTTTGAACGGTAAGTACTAGGGCTTTCGTATTTCAAATATGTAATCCTTGTGAAAAGAACTTTTATTGGATACGACGAACTTTGACCCTTTGACCTAGACCTTGGAGAACACATGTGTACATCTGAATCTTTTTTTCTGTTTCGTTTCTATGGCAACCGTGAGCGACTCATTACAATTATTTTGAAAGTAGAAATCACTTTGACACATTGCAAGGAATAAACATTGAAAGTTTCAAAACGATTGCCTGAGTAGTTATTGAGAAAATCGAAATTAAAGAATTTTAACTTTCACCTGGTTTCCATGGCAATAATCGATTATATGAAAATTTTAAATACGAGTTGCAGAACTACAGATACTAATCATTAAAATAAGAAAAGTTTCATGACGAACGTTTAAGGGACCAGAGAGAACACTCTCGGACAAAATTTGTCGCTTTTTACAGGTTTCCATGGCAACGGTAGACATATTGGAACTGAACGACCTCACTGCACAACTACAACCAGTGATCGTCCTTGAAGGAAAGTTTCAGGAAGATTGTCCCAGCCATCTCCGAGAAACAGCCTGGATAAAAAAAACATGCGTACAATATCAATATGTCGTCCCCGACTTCGTTCGGGGCGACATAATAACTCCTGAATTTTTCTCATCAATAACTCCTGAATTTTCCCCTTCAATTCGAGCATTTCTGCATTGCAGAGAGCTGATGTGTGTTATGAGATAATAAATCATGTGTGAACTTTCTCAGTTTAGCGGAATCATGAACATTTTCGGCGAGATGAATGTTTTGTATACAGTGGTGATCAAGGCTTTGCGAACCATCAGGAGCGGATCAAAGAATTTATGAATGAATAAAAACTATGGAAATGACGTACCAATTTTTTAATTTATACTTGCACTATCTAATGAAATGAATAATATACAAGTGATAGATATACAAGAAAACGCGAAATGATAATAAATGCAGCTGACAATCGTTATTTTTTTTTTATATAGATAAAATAAAATATTTATAAATTCAAGAGACAAAACAGAAGGAGAATGAATGATGGCAAAATATCACATGACGGGAACTGAATTTTATGAATGAAGATTTTAAAAAGTTACTTGTAAGTTGTATATGTTATATCTGTGTATTCTACTTGGCTGTGTGCTTCATAAAAAGAGGGGGGGGGGGCGTCTTGAACATAGTAAATAGCCATAACGTTTGAACGGTAAGTACTAGGGCTTTCGTATTTCAAATATGTAATCCTTGTGAAAAGAACTTTTATTGGATACGACGAACTTTGACCCTTTGACCTAGACCTTGGAGAACACATGTGTACATCTGAATCTTTTTTTCTGTTTCGTTTCTATGGCAACCGTGAGCGACTCATTACAATTATTTTGAAAGTAGAAATCACTTTGACACATTGCAAGGAATAAACATTGAAAGTTTCAAAACGATTGCCTGAGTAGTTATTGAGAAAATCGAAATTAAAGAATTTTAACTTTCACCTGGTTTCCATGGCAATAATCGATTATATGAAAATTTTAAATACGAGTTGCAGAACTACAGATACTAATCATTAAAATAAGAAAAGTTTCATGACGAACGTTTAAGGGACCAGAGAGAACACTCTCGGACAAAATTTGTCGCTTTTTACAGGTTTCCATGGCAACGGTAGACATATTGGAACTGAACGACCTCACTGCACAACTACAACCAGTGATCGTCCTTGAAGGAAAGTTTCAGGAAGATTGTCCCAGCCATCTCCGAGAAACAGCCTGGATAAAAAAAACATGCGTACAATATCAATATGTCGTCCCCGACTTCGTTCGGGGCGACATAATAATAAGAAACAGAGTAAAAACAATATGTTCCCCAACTTCGTTTGGGGAACATAATAAGTGGATGTGGACATTCAGATTCAGTATAGTGCGGAAAAACCCGCGCTGACTGATTCTGCCTTAAACTTTACATAAGCTGCAGTTCAAATACAAAATTATTGCATGGGTATATAAAAATTTACATCAAATTTTAATAAGTTTTACAAATTTGAAGGAAATAGTCTGAAAACCCACCATTTTCTGTGTGTAAAAAACATAATGAGAATAAAAAATAATTTTAATATTATATATTATATTTATGAGGCAACTGGCTGATCAGTCAAAGAATGTAAAAAAAGAAGGTGTGTTTGTGAAACACCATGCACCTGGCAGCAACAAAATTATGGCTAAGATTTAAGTTGACAACAGACAGACAAACAGATGAACAGACAAACAGACAGGACAAAAACAAAATACACCATGGATCTATCGATTCTAATGCATAAAAATTAATATGTTTCAAGGAAAAGTGCTGAGAAAACCGTTTCTATTTATTATTTGAATTTTGAAATCTATAGCAAATTACAAATGATGTGAACTGTAGGTGCTTGTCCCTATCAATCATTCTCAAAACAAGTATTTCCAATAAAATAAAAAAAAAATAAATATGGGATCTGCCTTTCGGACCTAATCTGAACCAATCCGGCTTCCGTGGCGGTACCAGGGACTTAAGTCCCCGCCGGCACAGCTCCAGACTTTAGACCTACTTGGCAGATGGGAATTTTAAATAAATATTGATATTTCTTCTCTATAAAAAAAGGGAAAATGTAATGACTGAGTAACTTTATGTATAAACAAATTTTTTCCCGATTGTAACAAACACACTAGGTACTGTTCCATCACACATCAAGGACAAACTTCAGGTTAACAAAGTTCTTTACAACAAACACACTAGGTACTTCTCATTTCATATCTACTAATATGCATTGGTATCTAAGGCTGGATTCAAGAAAATCTTATTTCCCTAAAACTGTATTAATATTTTTTTTCTTTTATAAGGTACAAATGTCAACTTGTATAAGACCTTTTCTAAGACTTCCAAAAACATTGAATCTTATAAAGATGAATAAATGAAAACTGTTGCATTAAAAAAATCATTTTCAAGCTTCATTTTAATGCATTTCAAATTAAATATTAATTTTTTAAGTTTTCAGGTTCCTTCAAGAAAGGGTGTATGTTTGGTTAGGCACTTTCAAACACAGGGTGTTCCAATAAATCTGACCTAAATTAAGAAAAATATTAATGCATAAATTAATAAATTATTTTAAAAAGCCATCAGTTTATGTAAAGTAATTACAACTTTTGATAAAATATCTTAAAAAAAAAAAAATAATGAAAAAGGGGGGAAAAAGAAAAGAAAAAATGATTCAATTTTCAATATGGCTATTGTTAGGATAAATGTGCACTATGCCCAATGATGTCATTCTTCTTTCTATAAAATAAAAATTATTTGAAACTTATGCCAGCATGTATGTGGTAAGTTATATAACTAAAGGTAGAGTGGAAAAACAATTTCTAATACCTCTGTGTAAAGGACGATGATGCAAAACAGATGTATTTTGATTTTTTTTTAAGAATAATGAAAATAAACAAAAACATATCCTTCAACATAGCTTTCATGAAGTAAGTAAAAAAAAAATAATTAAATTATTATCTAATTTAAAGTCTTAAAATAGTAATTAAGATTTTTCAGCAAACAATTTCATTTCAGACATCTCAGTATGACTTCTTTGAAATGTTAGGTACAGATCTGGACTAATGACCTACTTGGCAAATGGTATACATGTAAATAGTTATTTATTACAAAATGAAATGGGAACTCAGATGTAAAATTACTGTTTCATTAAACCCAGCAGTCTCTTTTTGCTTGTTCCGATATTTTTTTGAGCCAACATTTTGATAATAAGGTGTCAGGGTGAATGCCATCTTTATAGAGTTTGAAATTATAGTATCTCTTTACTTTCAATTTTCTACTTTTCCCACAACGATATTTATCAGTAGTACTTAAATCACAAGAAAACTGGGGGGAATATACTTCATTGCTTTTATTTAATTCTCTAATTCTATTATTTAAGGTGTAAATTTGTTGTTCTAATTTGTCATCATCAAATTTAAAAATACTGGGGTTTTTGTGTCCTTTGCTCTTATTCCATTCTTTAACAGAATATATAGGGGTTTCTAAAAAAGTAACTTTACAGCTAGGATATTTCTGAAGAATTCCTTCAATTTCTTTACAGTTCATAATAATGTTATCAATTTCATCATCATTATCGGATGTAAGTGTAATATACTGCTTATTTTTTGAAGTTAAGTTACATGTGCCTAACCAAACATACAACCAGATGTTTCCATAACGTCTAATTTTTTCCATTATGTTACTTTTAAGCCACTCTGTGCTGTCTTCAATCTTTGCACCACTACGTGCCCACCACAGAATTTCTTTTTCTGTACTATTCATAACATGCCTTTTCAGCCAGTTGCCTTTACTATCTGATAGTACAACAGGAACATAGCTTTTCTGACCTGATGGTGGTTGTGTAGGTTTAGAAATAAATTTTCGAAGCTTGTTTTCAGACATAATGAATTTCAAAGAATTATCAATTACTATTTTTGCAAAGAGTAGCAGTGGTCCAGCAGTAATGAAGGATGGGTAGTGTCTGTGTCTGTGAAGGTTAAAAATTCACTAAAATGTTGAGTAACAGTGATCCAGTTTGGCAGTATCTAGAATAAAATTAATAGAAGATAAATAAATAAATATCATCTTTTAATATTCAAAAAGAAAAACAAATTATGCTAAAAGGCAAAAATACTGTAAATAATAGTTTTTAAATGGCATACGTATGCAATAAAAATTACCTTTTATAAAGAGATTTCCTTCTTGTATGTCAATATTAATTTCTCTCTCTGTTAACTCAAACTCACAGCCATTCTTCCTTTCTTTATCATCCCAGTACACAACCTAAAATATTTGTTTAGAGAATTATCATCCTGTTCTTATCAGCTCCTTAGTTTCTGAAACAATTATACAATGTTAAATATAATGCATAGATGTTCTTATTAGCCATAAATAAGTGATGAAATAAATATCAAATTTAGAAGTATGGCTAATACAGTTATAAATATTATAAATTAAATATATCTTACATAAATTTCAAATGAACATTTTGGCAATACACTTTACACCAAAAACATTAATATAAACAATGCATAAACATTTAAAAACATGCACCAAAAATAAACATACTACCATTAATAATTAGACAGTGATGAATGTATTATATGAAGAAGAAAAAAGATGACTGATGTATATTCAAATTGTTGAATAAAATGGTGAAATAGTAAATTTAAAGAAGACAAAATTTTGTCACTTTTAACAACTTGAAAAGAATTCAATATCCATTTTTACAATTCTAATAACTAATTATTTTCTCTTTAACCGCTGAACCAATGGCAACCATTTTTGGCATATAGCATCTGTGGCCCCCCGCCCCCCTGCGGCCTATGGGGTGGAAGAAAAACCATCGGAATTAATGCAATTTTTAAATAATCTTCTTCTTCATGGTTGGACAACAGTCACACTTTTGGCACTAATGTAATAATTACAGAGCCCTTTAGCAAAATTAAGTGCTAAATAGACAGCGATTCTGGAGGAAGGGTGAAGCTTTTGGTAGTCATAATATAATAAAAATGCATTATTTCTTTGAAAATCTTCTTCTTTGCCTATGAGCTGTATTTTACTAATTTACTTTTATAAATCCTTTATATTGTTGAATTTTACTGTTTTATTATTCTCAGGTGATCATTAAGGTCATTTGGCCTCTTGTAAATTGCATTAGAGGATATGGTTTAAAAATTTGTTAAGTGCCATGCAATTCTGTGAAACAGTGTTAAATTATCATTATTAAAGATAAAATACTTATATCTGATATTCAATTACTTTGTAAACTCCTTTATCAAAACTCTTTATTTGGCCCTCCCAATCTCTGTTTTCCCCACTCTCGACCGTCCATGTATGTACAATTTCTTTTCCTACTAAATCACTTGCTTTGACATTGGACTGTTGTGCATTTTTCCGTAAATTTATTAAATGTAAAAGATTTTCTTGTAACTTGTTCAAGTCAAACTGTTTTCCTTTTGAGGAGAATTGCAGTAATTCTCTATGCTCCTTGTCGATTTTGAAAACTTTTTTGTAAATATTAATTTGTTTTTTTAAAGCCTCCATTTTTTCTTTCTTTGTTCTCATCTTTTCTAACGCCTCCCTTATCTTTTCCTCGCACTCCCATAGTCCTACCCTTCTCATATCCTCAATTGCATTATCCAATTGTTTTGACTGGTTCTCTTTCTTTCTTTGCACTTCCTTTTCTTTCTCCTCTAGAATTTTGGTTTGTTTTATAAAAAGTTCTTCTTGCTTATCCTTGTCTTTTTGCATAAACAGCCTGTTCTCTGTGCGAGCATTATTTATTATTTCTTCTTGCTTACTTAAATCTTTGTCTTTTAACCATTCGTCTGTTTTATTATTTGTATATAAAATGCAACTTTCGATAGTGTTTAAAGATGATGTGGACGATGCTTTTAATTTGAAATCTAACTGGCCCATCAGTCTTTCAATGCAAATGTTATTTGTATCACAGGACTCGCATTCTGGTAAATCAGTGGTAGTTATATTAAAATACTTGCCGCCACTTAAAAATTCACTAAAAAGTTTACTACCTTTGTTTTTTAAAACAGTACAAATACGCTTTATAAAAACACATGTTAGATCGTCATTTAATGAAGTCTTCAGTAAAAATTCAAAAACCTCATCATAAAAATATGGACCATAAAAAAGTGAAACTTCATTATTCAACGCCAACTTTGGATTTTCAATAAACAAATCCAAAACATATAAAAATCTCTGAAATACAGAGCCCATATCTAAAATGTTTCCAACTTCATTTGTTTTTAAAAAATATGGTTCTGTTATAATTTTGCATAAAATGCCAAGTGATCTTAAAAGAGTTAAAAATGTTTTGTTCTGCAAACATGACATAATAAAATTCTGAATAAGAGTGTAAGAAGTTTTCAAAGAATAAAAATATTGTAAAATAAGTTTGTGCATAAAAAAAGTACCAGCAGCATTGTAAAACATTACATTAAAACGATTCCCTCTAAAATTGACAATGGGAATCTCTCCAACACCATGATTTTTCAAATATACTTGAACCTTATGAGGCTCACCTACCCCATCTTTGAAAAATATTTTTGAAAAAGATCTCAAAAGATTCAAAGTAAAAGGCTCTTTTGATGAATTGTTAAAACCAGGAAATTTAAAACACAATTCTTGTTCAATATTAAAAATTTCGTCAATGCAGACATCTGAAAAATTTAAAAGGGGGTGAGTAGAACATTTAAAAGAATGGACATTGTGGTGTATGTCTTTACTTAAAATGTCATTAACTTTCTGTTCAGTGGAACATCGGTCTGTCATAAAACATGACACATTGTTTAAAATAGTATCACAGTCATCATCTTTCTCAGCAATATCTGATAAAATATCTTTCGTTACTTCTACATATGTCTCCCCCTTCCCATCACATACTTCTCTTAACCCTGCAGATAAAATTTTTTCCCCAGTATTAAATTGTAATCCATAAAAATGTTTTCCTTTCTTGGTAGTGGCATCTCTATGCATAGTAATATTTTTAGTGTTTGTAAGTTCCTCATTTAAATGACTTCTACTGACAACCCCCATTTCACTTGTAAGAATTCCTGCAGTACTTTTTGATGGAAGACTTTCAACATGAATATTAAAAATATCTAAAACAGCTTGAATAATTGGTGCAATATGTACCAAACCTATGTTCCTACTTCTAAAAATATAATATAAGTTTCTTAATTTAAAATTGTAAGGTTTCCCTTTACTGTTTTCTCTAAAATCAATATTTTTTTTATATGTACAAATTCTTCATTATCAACATCACAATTGTTTTCCTTCTCTGACACTAAAAAATCAATCTCTTTTTTTAAATCAGCAATAACTGTTTTCATAGTATTACATTGCACACTTTTGTCATTTTTTTTTTACATTTTCTTTTGTCATTTTTTTTATAACATTTTCTAATTTTGTTATTTTTTCATCTTTTTTTTCAATTTTCTGTTTGTGTTTCTAATATTAAAACTTCTAATTTTGTCTTTGAGAGCTGCATTCTCCCTCCTCAGGTGTTCAATTAAAATATTCTTTTCAGATATAATTTTTGATTTCTCATTCACTTCTTCGCTTTCCCGAATTCCTTTCCGTTCTTCTTTTTCAAATTTCTGGCTGTCTGTCTCCTCTCCACTCCCATTACTTTTTATTAAATCTTGTTTGGAATGTGGCAGTTCGAATATATTGCTTAAGTATGAATTTAATTTGTCTTTATTGGTAAATTTCTTTAACCTATCGATTTCTTTTCTCATGCGTGTAACTTTATACAATAAACTAACTCGGTTAACCTTTGTAAATTCGACTTTTAATTTTTCGCATATTTCGTGATGTAGACATTTCATATAGTCTGGTCGGTTTTTATGCTTTAAGTAGATTTCATGGACATCTAAGTATGTGAGAACCATGATTATGTGCACAAGTGATTGTTAACTGAATTTTTACCATAAATGCTGTGCAAATTGAAACACAAACAAAAAAAAAAATGAAGATTGACACACACAGAAAACAAAGACAATAAACTAAATATAAAAGATGAAGAAAATTGAAATAAAAATAAAAGACGAAGACATTGAACGAAAGAAAATAAAAAATATGAAATAAAAATATGATACGTATATAAAAGCAGTAAATGCTTTCTTGACAAAACATGTATTTACCTTCTATGGAAATTTCAGTCACTGTGTCACTCTGTAATTTCACAATGTGTCACTGTAATTTCTAAACTCCTAAAATTAGAAAAAAATATTTATAATAACTTAAATTCAGAAGTTCATTGTCCAGTTGCCTTCATAACATCCATATGTATGTAAAAATACATGTTGTTGTGATTAGTTGAAAAAGAAATAGACTATATCAAGGTAGGTAATTCGATTTAAAGAAACATTCTGTGTTGACCCATCTTCCTATTCTTTAAAAAATACGTGGGAAAATGTGCATTGCTACAGAAAATATTTTACAGTTCAATAAAGATTAGTAGCATTAAAAAATTCATTTAAAGTGTTTACATCTGTGATATTTCTTCATGATATCAAGGAATCAAAGAAAATACCAACGCAGCGACCTTCTCGTGCAAATATACTTTACTTGTTTTTCATCGATAAAAAATAAATGAAGTGGTTTTAATATCTTTTTGACAAAGCACAAACTATATCCAAACACAAAAATACCTTACACATCACTGTCATCAACAAAAAAGTCCATCAAATACTACTTACCACGATTTAACTGTAGGATCCAATATCCTTCCACAAATCGCATGCAGCAATGGCTACCCAGTGCTTCCGGTTGTTACTATTTTAAGATCAAAATGGCGTAAACTGGAATAGCTAGAAACTTGATTTTTGCGCTGGATGTCACAGGTTTTAGTGCTTGGGTTTGGCTAATACCCCAAAAACCCCGAGAACAGGATGGCACTAATACAAGGCCAGGACTGGAAGGATACCCCCAAAAACCGAAATATTAATAGCTTGATGGCACTTTGATAAACGGATTGAACCTTGAGTGGTTAAATCACATTATCAAAAGATGCCCTAACCTTGGGCCTTTATACTAAAGATAACAAAATACTTCTATTTAATTATTTATATTTATTTGGCGATATAGGCCACGGCTGCATTAAACAAATAAGGGAGCCCGGCATCAATTCTTGCCTTTTTGGCATCCCCACAAATAAACAAGCATGAATGGTGAGCCCTGGGAACAGATGCTCGCCTGCTTGGACAATAATTGCAAAATTCAATAAATTGTGCACCAAGTCATATATTAAAAATCTAGGTTAGGCACTACTGGTGAGCCAAATATCCGCCACGAGCCTATGCTTAGAGCATTGGCTGCGCCACCAGTAGGTCAGACGATAGGGGGGAAAAAGGGGGATTGATATTATTAAAATTGATAATTGCATAACTCATGTTTATGTCTTCAAATAGTGTAATTTATGACAATAATCAATTACTTGGTAAAATAAAATGACCAAGAAAATAAGCAGACTTTATGTCAATACAAATACATAGACCCTCAACAGTCTATGGGCAAGAGCAAAATTGACTTGGTGCATGACAGTACAAATACATAGACCCTCAATAGTCTATGGACAGTAAATAAAATAGTAACCATGACTAAAATCTTAGTCATGGCGCAGCCATGGCCCAATTTCCCCATCTCTTGGGGACACGTGAACTGAGTTGTTAATCAAAAACACTTGCAAAGCCTGTTGCAATCTATACAAAAACAAGTTATTACCCATCTCGGAAAGGTGAACCTTATCTTTACAAAACATGTCTGTGTTGACCCTATGTAACTCTGGGTACCTGATGTACTTACCCCCAGATCTTAACAAGTGAGTAGCCACATGGCTATCTGCTCTGACTCTTTATTCTCTCCATAGGACTGGTGAATACCAGCCCCCTCCAATAAAGATGTGGTAGTATTTGAGACCATATTAATAAAGTTGATGGTAGCAATTTTGCTAATTTTTGTAACACTTCTTTTAATCTGAAACGTAAATCAGCTGACTTACCCCCACTATACCATGGAATGTTATTTCCCCCGCAATGAATAACTAACATGTGAGGAGCATTTTCTATGGTGGCATATTTCTGCCCCTTGTGTGCAAGTTATTTTTCTATCAAATATGTCGACATGCAAGATAAATATGTTGACATGCAAGATAGTTATGTCAACATGCAACATAAATATGTTGACATGCAAGAAAATTGCAATCAAATAAATATTATAAAAAATCTCAAATATCGCCCACATGTGACATCCAACATGCTAGATGCTTCTTATTTATGTTAGCGTGCAAGATAAATATGTTGACATGCAACTTGTTTATGTCGACATGCAACTTATTTATGTTGACATGCAACTTATTTATATTAACATGCAACTTATTTATGTTGACATGCAGCTTAGTTATGTTGACATGCAACTTAGTTATGTTGACATGCAAGATAAATAAGTTGTATGTTAACTTATTTATGTCAACATGCGACATATTTATGTCAACATGCAACTTATAAGTTGCATGTCAACATATTTATCTCGCATATCAACATAACCAAGTTGCATGTCGACATAAATAAGTTGCATGTAAAAATAAATAAGTTGCATGTTAACATATCTAAGTTGCATGTTAACATAAATAAGTTGCATGTCTACATACATAAGTTGCATGTTAACCTATCTAAGTTACATGTCAACATATTTATCTTGCATGTTAACATAAATAAGTAGCATTTAGTATGTTGGATGTCACATGTGGGCAATATTTGAGATTTTTGAAGATTGTTTTATAATTTTTATTTCATTGCAATTTTCTTGCATGTCAACATATTTATGTTGCATGTTGACGTAGCTATGTTGCATGTCAACATATCTATCTTGCATGTCGACATATTTGATAGAAAAATAACTTGCACACAAGGGGCAGAAATATGCCACCATACTATGCTACCTTGAGTAGAGTTCTAATTTTGGGTAAGATGTCTTCCAACTTCATACCCCCGTTACCTTGCCAGAATATGGTAGCATTGTGCCGGTCTAATTCTAAGTTGGTGCCAAATACTGATTTTCTGGCATAATAAAATGCATGTTTAACAATGGAAGACCCAATGATCCATATTCTCTTTACACCTACAAAGATTTGACAACAGAAAAATTAACGAGATGTATAATGCTAGAGCTATTAACATGTTAATTCCTGATGTACTTGTACAGACACTGAGATTTCCATCTACCCCTACTGGCAATGTCTTTTTCACTGGCTCCATTGGCCCAGGCCGTTGAAGCTGCGCCTATGCGAAAGAAGTGTGTTTTATAAGTTTGCTTGCTTAAACCCAATTTTTCTAAGGCCATATTGAAAAGAGATGACAC